TACAGAAGAAGAAAACAGCCAACAGCAACTTTTATAAAACTGTTCAACAAAATACTGGCCATTAAAGAACAGCTCCGTAACTTCTCAAGTTGAAACCTGCAAACTGAAAATCAGGCCTTTGTGAGACAAACTAAAATAGTGTCCCCTCGGGGTACACAAATACCACAGTGAAGTCACCAGAGTGAGCTATTGCTGACAAAGTAAGAGCCTACTTCGCAGGGAATGGGGGTGCTGCTTGTCTCATACAAACTCATTAGAAGATCAAACAGAATGCAGTGACTTATATAGCAATTATTCTTATTTATACACACGAAAACAGTAGTCAGCAAAGAGCTTCACTAAATCCACTGTAGATTACCACAATTTATGAGGATCTGGGAAACTAATTTGCACTTCATGTTAATTTGGGGAGTTCTATAAACTTTGAATCAGCTGTGTAAGCACTGTTTTCTTAACCTAGTTGCTTTAGGAAGAGGGAAAGATACCTTCCTCCAAGATTCAAGATTCTGTCTGCCAAATTTCTACTCACAATGATTATCAAATTAATTAAAGGGATTGTTTAATAAAAGGCCAAACCTCAGCTACAATCTTGCTACCAACTCAACTATCCCTGGACAGTGATAAAACTTACTGTAACTTGTTAGCATACAGCTTAAAAGCAAAACTTTTTTAAAAAGTTAACTGAGTAATACAAAAGTTACACAAGATCCAAAAGCTAAAAGCAACATAAGAAAGACTTCTTTTTAGAGAAGAGTGTCTGGTGAGCTTTCTTTCTACAGGAGAGAAAATGCAGTTCCAGTTCCCACAATAACTTCAGCTCTTTATATCTGCACCCCGCGCACCAGGGATTACGGTATGTGGATCTTAAATAAAACAGCAGCTTTTAGGATTAATGCTGATTTTCCTGGATTTTGTACAGGAAGATATGATACTGGTACAATGATCTAATTTGTACAGGACGTATGTTTGAAGCATGCCTCAGCCCCAACCACCACTACCACCACCCACCCACCCCTACCTCATTCCCACTAAAAAGGCACTAGTTACAATGATCACGTAACTTGGTGTGTGAAAATTTTGGAGGGTTTACACAAGAAATTGTGAACTGTTGTCTTTAGAGCATGGAACTTAGCAAAAAAAAGACACGCTTGTCATTGTACTGTTTAACTATATCATGTCATGTTTCTTTTTTACAATAAAAAAGGGACTTATGATCAGTGCCCAAACATATGTTTCTTGCAACTACTTAAGTATGATCTGACGTGGCTTATTTTAAAGTTTACTGTGTTTAAAGCTCAATACTGAAAGGAAGCCTACAAAAGGGGCAGCTAGACTGAATCACATTGCTCACGTTAGTTTCACATGCTTTCCAAGGCCAAAGCACAATATGCATCACTTGTTTAAGGGTATGTGAAATTTGAACTGGATGGGAGATTTAATGGATGCACAAAACAGTCATGGTCCTTGAATTCATGGGAAATAATTTGTTAGCTAGAACCTGTGGAATAAATGGAGTCAGGAAGTGAAAACCATGAATATCAAAACACACATGATAAATAAAAGCCTTGCCTACTTGCCATTAATTATTGATCCTAACATTCATACATACATAAATTATGCTCATCACTGAAATGAAATGGGGAGGGAAATCAACCTTACTACACATAAATCTTCCTCCCTCTTCCATGGCACTTAATTTCCCCCTGGACATCATTTCCAATCCAAAAACAAATATAGCAGGAACCAGTCAAAACTGTCTTTTTTCTTAAGAGTTTTAAACAGTTTTGTTCTGATTATTTTTTGAAGCACTAATCTTTATTAAAACTTTACATCAGTGGTTGGATTTAACCATTCTAGTGACACTTTTGTCACTCTACAAATATTTACTGAGTGCTTTTTTATGTCAGGGACCTAACTAGGGATACAGTGTTGAATAAAATAGGCAAAGTACAAGGTAAAAGAAGGCAAAAATAATAATAACCAGAGAAGGAATAAAAAATAATACATCTCAGTGCAGCATAATGGTGTCTCTGTCATGAAAGATCACATTTACAACAGTGGTCCTGTGAGATTATAGTGCACCTGAAGACATCACAACTTAAGTTAAACTCGTTTTATGAATGTCATTTAGCAAAGATATTACCAAAAACAAGAATTTTCAACAAAAACTAGTCCTAGTATATAATATTTTTGGAGTAAAAAAGTCATGTTGGGAGTGCTAACTAGGTAAATCTCAAGATCTCTTTTGACTGCTATGAGCATGGCCCTCCGTGACTGCTATGAGCATGGCCCTCCATTACCGTACCTGCTCCCCAACAGCAGCAACTCCATGTCTCTGCCACACTGTCCTGGGGAGAACAAAACGTTGAGTAATCTACCTACCTCTGCAGTCACCTACAAAAAAACCTTAGCTGCTTCCCACCACCAACAGAAAACCAGGAAATCCAAGATTTCAGGCACTCTGGTGCATCAAAGCAATGCCTTTTCTTTTAATTTTTTTAAAGTTTGGAAATGGATAAAATAACACTTCCAGAGTATTCAGAACTCAACAGAAACTAAAGTAAAAATTTTAGCAAAAATTGGATATAAGCTATGAAAAGAATTTCTGCCAATTTTTAAAATGTAACACAAGAAAATGGTTAAGGACCATTCTCACAAAATCTTGGGGTCTATGGCAATCTCTTTAGAAAAGCATCTGTCCCAAGATACTACTACTTCTAACATTTTCCAATTATCTTTTAAAAAACTGGCAATACAGTCTGTATCTTCAATCACTGAAAAGAAAGTGCCTGAGAGTTTTACTTTATAAACTTATTTTCAAGTTTCATGTAACAAATAAAATGGTATTTACTACAAAAGGTGCTAAATACTGCCAACATTTATTCCACATACAGTAATTTAATTACACTTTGCATAGTACTTTTTTGTAAATCACATTCTCTGGAATCTTGATACTTACATAAAGTTTAGTGTGTGAGGGAGCAGTGGGAAAAAAATACAAATTATGATCAAAAGAACCATTTGCCTATAAAATGTCCCTTTCAAACAATCCTAAATAATGTTATTAGCTCTACAGAATTACCCTGCTTTGACAGAAGAATGGCTCGGGGCAGTCTGTTCTCTCTGGAAGTTCATTAGTGCCAGCTACTGGTAAAATCAAGCCTCCCAATGCAAATAGGGATTGAAGTCCTCCCAATCAAATCTCAGTTTCTCACACGTATGCTACTCTGTGAAAGAACAATGACATTTTCTGTCTGTTACATGCCTCTGTAATGAAGAAAACCTTGGCTAGATAAAACCCCATCTTTAATTCTTTCAGAAAAGTATGTCCTTTCTCATCTACAGCCTACCGCTCAGTTTTCTGTGCATCACTTCACCGACTTTTAAAAGGTCACTATCACACGTTTCTATACTTGCTTTGAATTAAATCAAAAAGAAAAACAGCAAGAACTTTTTTACATAGGGACAATACTCTGTCCAGCAATTACAGTGAATACAGGCACTTCCTCTTGTTTCTTCTGTACTAGGGTTAGTGGTGGAACAACTTTATAGCTCTCATTTAAAGGAGAACAGTTCTAAACAACAGTATCTTTAAACGTGAATCTCTAGCTCACTTACACCAAGGTAATATATACAGCAAAGGCAACTGCGTCCCTAGAATTCCCTTAACTCAGCAGAGAAAACAGCAATCACTCTGAATCAGGGAGACCAGAGACATCTAAACATTTTCAAAGCAAAAGTGTTTAAAGTGGACCTTCCTGTCTTTATGCTCCTACAACGCTGGGGCGGCCCTGAAAGGAATGAGAAAAGCAAGGATGGGTGTTTCTGATTAACGCTTCAATAAAATGGACCAACATCCTAACAGCAGAAATGGTGCAAGCTCTCTACAAGCAAGAAGACTGGTAGGTTAGAAAGCACTGGAAAGCAGAGATCAATGTGGCGTGGAGCGTTTTGGCCCTCACCAGATGTCAAGAGCTCAATCAACTTTAGAAGTTGCAGAAATGAATTTCTGCGCGGCCCACGCCGGGAAGCAGAGAGCTCCCACGCGGCTGTCTAAGCCGCTCAAGCTGGAACACGGGTGGAGACAGCCTGGGAGCTGGGCTGTGGGCGAGCAGGAGTGAGGACGGGGCTGTCACCGCTTACCCAGGTGCAGCGTGAGGTTGATGGAGCTGGGGTACTGCACCCCAGACAGCATGGTCTGGCTTTGCCACCAGGTGGTGTCGGCCTGGTTGTTGTAGTCGGTCAGGAAGGCTGCCCCGTGCTGCAGGTGGGGCTGCCCGGCGTCGCACAGGTGACAGGACTTGGTCACCCCGGTCACCCCGGTCTGCACACAGTACTCCTCGGGCGGAGTCCCACACGTGTTGGTGGCCTCCACGGTCACGTTGAAGGCGGCGTTGACGAACTCTGGCATGCAGCGCTGCGGCCGCCCGTCCTCATCCGTGCACTCGTCCATGGCCGCCCGGGCGCACCCCGCCGCGGCGACCGCCAGCGCGACCAGCACCGGCCAGAGCCGCCCCCGGGGCCGCAGGGCCGGCTCGGCCCGCTCGCTGCCCCTCATCCCGCCGCGCGCGCGCCGGGCCACCACGAAGGCAAGGGCGCCGCGCGTACCCCCGGCCTGGGGTCTCCGCTCCGCCGGCTGCGCCCGGGGCGCCGGGCCGGACTCGCGCGCACACGGGCGGCGGTGGCGCCGGAGAGACGGGCCGGCCGGTGGGCGCCCCTAGCGAAGACGGCGCTGCTCTCCGACCGGTGCCCCGCGCGCCGCCTCCGCGCCTCGCTCACCCACCCGGACGCAGCCCGCACCGCGCGCCGACCCCCGACTTCCGAGCGCGGCCCCGAGCGCGCACCCGGGAGGAAGGAGCAGGGGGTGGGGTCTGGGGGCGGGGAGAAGCCAGCCCCGGCCCCTCTCGGCTGCTCCCGCGGCCCCGAGCGGCTCCCCCCCCCCGGCGGCGTCTCGCGCTCGGCCCCCAGCGGGTGGGGGCAGGGGGAGGGGACAGGAGGGAGCGCAGGGGAGGGGGAGGGACGCGGGCGGTGCATGCCGGGAGGCGAGGCGAGGCGAGGCGAGGCGAGGCGGTCGGCGCCCGCCATCCGGGCAGGGCTGGGGCTCCTGGGTGCCCCTCGGGCTCCGCGGCCCCGGGAGACTACGGATTGGGAAGGGGTAGGAAGGGCGCTTAATGGGGCGCCGCGGTCGGCGAGGTCGCTCGGGGTTGGCTTTTGGGCCGCTGGCCAATTTGGGCCCTGCGCGGAGAGGCCCCGCCCAGCCAGGTGTCAGCGCGCGGCCCAGCCGGACACCGCCCGGGGCGAGGACCGGGACTGGGCGCTGGCGCAGCCCGCGAGCCCCGACCCCACCCCACCCTGGAGCGCCCAGCCCCGCGCGCCCCGGCCTAGCCTCTCCGGGGGAGGCCCGGGGGTCGGGCTGGCTCGGTCCCTGGGGAAGAGAGGGCCTGGTCGCTGCATCGAAATGAATCTTGTGAAGCGATTTCCTGCCGCTAAATTAAAGTGTAACCAGGGGTTTAGCCCGGGTGAGGAAGGAAGTGAAAAGGCTGGGAATGGGATGACATTTTTCCCCTGGGGACGCAGACCCACTGCGATGTTTCCACTGTGTTGTTTGTGATCTCTGTCTTGCCTTTAAAAGACGAAATGATCTGGATTTGACATCCCCCTTTTCAGGCCTGCTGAGTCACGGAATATTCTCAGCGCCAGAATGACTCAGTTCGCAGAACCAGAGCCAGAAGATCATGAGTTTCAGTCCTAGATCAGAACCTGGGCACGGACCCAGACAAGAGTGAGCCAGGACCGGGCGAAGCGGTGCTGTAAAATGGACCAGCAGAATGCAGTGGTTCTTAGATCTTTGAGTCCTCTAGCAAAGTGGATGCACGAAATGCATACACGAGACAGATTGTTTTAACTTTTCAGAAAAGTAAGGATACTACACGGTTTTAGATCCAGTAATCTTGTTAAGACAAGGAGAGTGGGGATCTGAAACAATAAAATAAGTAAATGTTAGGTGACTGTGATAGGGGTCAGTGTTAGTCCCACAATTCCTAATTAGGAGAGCCTTAGGGGTAACCTCGTAGTTACACTGGGGGAAGCCTGCGGACTCCAGGGCACTTTGGCAGAACCTTTTGGAGTACATCATCACGAAGGGCTGTCAGATATATTGTTCATTTATTCGATGAGATGGATGGATATTGTACATGGCTAAACATCTCTAACCCTTTACCCCAGCACTTTCTTTTTGGGAGAAGAAAGTTGTGAGAGCAATAATGTTTTAATCGTTTCATACTTGAGTTGAAACAAAGTCAATATATTCACTCCTGAAGGAAATGATATTCTCAGTTCTTCCTTGTACTTGAGAACAAAGATAACAGTGTGAACAGTAAATAAAGCTACAGATACTTTAATGTATGTGTAATAAATATTAATGCATTTTCCTTATCTTATATTTTCAGGATTTTATGAATACTGACAAATTAAAGGGTGGGTCTCTTTTTGTCTTCTACCAGAAAAGTAAAAAGATAAAGCAATCACAAAGGCTGCAAGATCAATGTGAATGCGTTTCCTTTTCACTTTCCTTGTTGTGTCCTGAGTAAATTTCAAACTATTACTGTTGCTTATTTGCTACATAATTTAATTACCAGAATCTCATCTGACATTTGTAAAGCTGTAAAGAGACTTTGCCTATATTGCTAAAGCAGGAAGCACCTAATGTGAAGAGAGGGGTACACAGCCAGTGTGCTTGATCGTAACTGCTCCATTCTTCGGAATCTGATTCAAAGATTTTGTTAACATAATTTTGAAGACAATTTGGGAAAGCTAAACACTAGATGTTTGATCATATTAACAAAGTACTTAGGTACCAGGAAGATGTCAGAGTCGTTAATATTTTTAAATATTAAATATTTAAATATCTCATAAATATATGAGATTTTCTTTTACTGCAAGTTCTGTTTTTCAAAACATTCCAGAACCTTCTAAATAAATGTTAACTGCTTGAAAATTCCCTTATTTACTAAACAGATATATGTGTTTAGAAGAAAAATATGAAAATACAGGGAAAATTAGTTTCAGAGTCCTCAAAAGAGGCTGTTAGTGGCCAATCATCAGTGCCCCCATACAGCGAGATAGGCAGGAAGAGAGGATGTAGTTTACTGTACAGGTAACATAGTTTTTGTTTTGTTTTTTAAGCAAACAACACTCCAGAGAAAAGAGTTCTCCCCATCAGGATTTACGTAAATAATTTCCAGGAAGAATGCTCATTATCTCACACCCAGATAGATGAATAGAGGTACCAGCCCACCAGAAAACCAAGGAGCATGGGGCAAGCAGTTCAAAAAAAACCAACTTGCTGTTTCGAGAAGAGAGCAGTTTACAAGGCAAGATTAAAACAAAAATCTATCAGGATTAGAAAAATTTATTGTTTTGGGTTTGTTGTCTCTTTTGCTTTTTGTTTTTCTTTTCTGTCTTTTTTTTTTTTTCCTCTTAAATAAAGAAAAGAAAAAGAATTTGAAAGTTTGGGTTGACTTTTCAAGATTGCAACTCGCCAAGAGGCAGCCAGTGAGAATGGCTGCACAATCTTCAGAAAGGCCTGCAGCCCAGGCCCCGCGGGCCGAAACACAGACCCGCTCCCTGAGACAAGGCAGCTGCTGTCCCAGTACCGCGCAGAGCAAGAAAAGCTGTCTTCGCCTTGGCCTTGGGGGACTCTTGAGGTCCACTGACCTTTGTTGGGACTTATTAGGCCACATGATCGTGGGACAGGACAGGCCTGAACAGGAGGTGGGAAGCCTCCTCCAGGACGGGCACCTCTTTGTGGACAAGGCCACGAGCATTCTGGCCGACTAGCGGCCGGGCCGAGCCAGTTTGTCACAAAATCACCAACAGCAGAGCCCCTGCAACTCCCCAGGCTGCCTTCTTGGTGACTTGCTCTGGCTTCCTTCCAAGCCTGCAGTCATTGTTGGTTATTTCTCCCAGGCTAGGGACAAGACGGTCCCATTGCAGTGGTCTAGGAGAACTGGGCATAGTGGCATAGGTCTGCAAATGCAGCACTCTGGGAGCAAGAGGATGGCCAATCTGAAACCAGTGGGGCAAGTTAGGGACTTAGAAATTATTTCAAAATGAAAAGGGCTGTGGATGTAGATCTGTACAAAGGCCCTGAGATCAATTCCTAGTCCTAGGGAGAAAAAGATTGTAACTTGTCCTTTTTTAAAAGCCTTTTATAGTTACCAATGTTTATTTTTCCATTTTTTAGTCTTTCTGACCTCATTTCCCTGCATTCTTCCCAAACCTCAGCACTACTGTATTATATGCTTTATCTTTAGAAACATAACTGTTATGGATTGGAAACTGGTGGTCAACTTAATGCTAGCTGGATTACATCAGCATGGTGCTAAACGTAGATGTTTCACTTAAGGAAGGTTGCCAGCATAAATAGAGATGTAGAGAAGGAGAAGAGAGGCATTGAGGCATTGAGGCATTGCGGGTTCTTCTATGTGTTGCTGTTTGAGCCATGAGATTCTCCTGGAGAAACTCTGGTCCTCTCATCGAGCATTGCTTCCTGGCTCTAGAGGGGAAGATGTGTGCCACTTGGTCTCCAGGATGAACTCCTCAGGCTGGCTTCCTGGCATGTACTCAACTGTGCTAGTCATTGGAGGAGCCTGGGGCCTCCGTGTCACTGAGGGTGGCTGTGGTGCTTTTCAGGACAGCCCTGGTCTTTGTTGTGAGTGTGATTCTTGGCTCCAGCGTAGAACCCTCAACCTACCAGCACAGCTCCCTCACCCCACTGGCATAGACTTCCTAGCTTCCACCTCTGACTTTGGGCCTTCCTGGCACAGATCTGTAAGAGACTGGTGTGAGTCTTTCTTGTGGGCTCTGGACCTCCAGTTGGACTTGTGGGAGGCCTTGTCATGGGCTCTGGGTTTTCATCTGGACTCATGTGGGACATTGCTGTGGGATTCAGACCCCTGGTTGAATAGTCTATGTCTTTAGTGTTGTAGACAGATTTCCTGCAGTTTCTTATGTTAACTCTGTGTGACCATCATAAAACAATATTATAAATTCCATGTTCTGGCTTTAATTGTTCTCCACACAATCCCTAACTACAATAACTTATACATAACAATCATTAATAATAATAAAACAATGTTAGCCTATAATTACATATTCTTGTTTCTTTCAAAATTGCACTGAGCAGAGGATGGATGGTTTTTCCAATGGAAGGCTGAAGAAAGGAACGCTTGAAGAGATTAGGTAAGGGAGGAATCCAAGCCAGGGCGAGAGCCTGCTGTTTTTGGCCCCTTGTCCAGCCTGCTTCCTGTTCTATGAAAAGAGAGAGCTCTCTTCGCATTTCTCACATTTCCTAGGATTTTAGACTATTAAATGGAAATTTAAAATTAGCTAAAAATTAACATGATACTAGAGGAGAATTATAATATCCCTTTTCCAAGTTACAGTAACTACACTTACTACTCTGTGTTGGGCTTATAGATCCTGACTGGGTTCCTGGTCCAAGTCCAACCATAACAAGATAAGCTATCTTCTGCGGCCAGGCTCAGGTAAGGACAGGATTTCTCTTGCTTGAGTTAAAGTCCTTTCATGCTCAGCCTCCTGCACTGACTTCGAGTCAGCTTTATAGTGTCACATTAATGTTAAAAAGAAAAGAGAACACTCATAGCTTAAAACAACTTTATTGCAATATACAAATTTTTAAAAGGCAGTATTTACAAAAACAAATAGTGAAATCCATCCTCACACCTCCCCAAATCTTCCCATTATGATAAGACTTCAGCTCTCAAAATGTTTACTATTCTTAGCATGATGTTCTCAGGAATTTTGCTGCAAATGACATGATTCAATTCTTTGTGACTAATAGTCCATTTTGTGTGTGTGTGTGTGTGTGTGTGTGTGTGTGTGTGTGTGTGTGTGTATGCCACATTTTCTTTATCTAGTCATCTGTTGATGGGTATCTAGGCTGTTTCCAGAGCTTTGGTAGTAAGAATTGTGCTGCTAAAAAAAAATATGAAGCTGGGCGTGGTGGCTCACGCCTGTAATCCCAGCACTCAGGAGGCTGAGGTGGGAGGATTGTTGCGAGTTCAAAACCAGCCTGGGCTACAAAGTGAACTCAAGGCCAGCCTGAACTGCATAGTGAGACTCCGTCTCAAAAAAGACAAAAAAAAAAAAAAAAAAGAAAAAAGAAAAAATGTTCAACATCACTGGTTATTCAAGAGAAGCAAATTCAAACAACACTGAGATTCCATTTCACCCCAGAAAGAATAGTTATCATCAAGAAATCAACCAATAACAAATGCTGGCAGGGCTATGGGGGAAAAGGAATCCTTCTCCACTGTCTGTGGAAGTGTAGACTGGTTCAGTCACTGTAGAAATCACGGGGATTCTTCAAGAAACTAGGACTAGAGATTCAATTGACTCAGCTATTCCCCTCTTGCATATCTTCCCAAAAGAATTAAAAGTATCATACCACAGAGATATATGGATATCTATGTTTATAGCTGCACAGTTTGTATATCTGGCTTGTAAATATTTATCTCAGAAGCAACCCAAGTGTCCATGAACTGCTGAATGAATAAAGATGTGCTTGTTTATACAATGGAGTACTACTCTGTCATAAAGAAGGATATACTTGAGACATTTCTAGAAAAATGGATGCACTTTGAGATCATACTCTTAAGTGAAATAAATCAGATACACTTGTAAATACTACATTGTTTTTCTGGTTTGAGAAACTAAAAGTATAAATAAGGACCAAAATGTATAATAGGTATTGTGAAATAGGAAGAAGATTTTCAAATGGGGAGGGGAACAAGAGGGGGGGGAGAAAAGAAGAGAAAAATTTTAAAAATGACAAAAAAGAAAAACGTGGAAACAGAGCTTTTGTAAATGGGAAGGGGAGGAGGGTAAGAGGGTAGGAGATAGGGAAAATACAAGTTATATCACATACAAGTACAAATACAAATTCTCTGTGATGAATGTGATCATTATGTATATCTAAAATAACCAGCAAAATCTGACTGAAAAATAAATACATGCTGCTGATATAAATTCCATATGATTTCTCTTGTATGAGAAACCAAAAATATATATTAATTAATTAATTAACAAAGGGAGACGTGGTGGGAAACAAGAAGGCAGACATCTTGGAGATGAGGAAGAGATTGGGAAGAGGAGGAAGAGGGAGGGGAGAGAGGGATGAAGAGACTGAAAACTATCAAGATAAGTGACGTGCCTGGCCCGGTTCTCCAGACCAACATAACTGCCGTGCATTACAAATGCACTGATAAACAAGAATAGCCTAGGGGCTGGGGATTTAGCTCAGCGGCATAAGCGCCTGCCTTGCAAGCAGGCAGTCTTGAGTTCGATCCCTGGTACCGGTAAAAATGAAAAGGACAAAAAAAAAAAAAGAATAGCCCAATGCTGTAAAGAAACTTTTGCTTTTAACTCAAAAATAATTATTCTACCAACTAGATGGAAACTGCATCCTATCATTCAAAAATGACACACAGGGCTGGGGATTTAGCTCAGCATGTAAGGGCCTGCCTGGCAAGCACAAGGTCCTGAGTTTGATCCCTGATACCAAAATAAATAAATAAGACAAATGATCCTTTTAATGCAGAGGACACATTTTGATTGTGGGAACTCAGATGATTTTTAATAAGTTGTTGGCCCCAATGGTTACTGTTAAAAAGAAAATTCTTTATAATCAAATTATTATTGATAGTTTTCCCCAACATTTGTCTTATAATTTATTGCCTAATTCCACTACATAAGAGCATACTCCAACAGTTCCTTTGTTTTTTTTTTTTAATTTGGACAGTAAGCCTGGAAGTTATATTATTCAAGTTAAAACTAGAAATTCAGTATTCTTTTCATGAGATTGTTTTGGGGCTCTGATAAAAGATTATAACACTAAAACACCTGCCTTGCAAGTGTGTGGTTGTGCGTTCGATCCCCGGTACTGATAAAAAAAGACAAAAAAAAAAAAAAAAGATTATAACACTAGCTTTAGATTTTTTCCAATAGAAAAAATCTGGGCGTGGGTGATACAGGACTGTAACCCCAGCACTGTGGGAGGCTGAGGCAGGAGCCCTGATCACAAGTTCAAGCAACTGAACAAGATCCTGTCTTGACACAAAAAATTTTAAAATTGTCTGGGGAGGTAGCTCAGGGTGAAGGCCCTGGATTCAGTCGTCCAGCATTGCAAAACTCAACAACAACAACAACAAAAGTCCAACTGAAATTATTAGGGTCCTACCACAGAACTCAGAGACTTCTCTCTGTAATTTATATATATACTTGAACAATCACTTTTCCGTCCCATCTTTGCTTTTTATTATAATAACCAAATTAAAACAAGATTCAAAATGACTTTTTTATTTATCAGAATTCCTTTTCCTAGCCTATATATATATATATATTTTTTTTTTTTTTTTTTGAGGGTGCTGGGTACTGAACCCTAGGCCATGGCATTCTAGACAAGTGCTCCACCCTGAGTTGTGCTCTGGCCCCATTCTTCTTCCATTTCAATAAGCTTGCTTTATTAACATACAATATTCAGACAGACAACTGCACAGAATCTGAGATAGAATTCACTGGTTGGCTGAGGTATCACAGAATCCACATACCTTTACCATCACCGACCAGTCTAGAAATAAACTGTCACTTTGACCCAAAAGTTCATTCTGTCTCGTGCCAATCAGCAGCCCCATTCTGCCCAAATGTATATTTTATTCTTTCATCAGTTCCTATTTAGTAGCTTAAAACCTTCCGAAGCGTTAGTTTTTCTAGCTTTTGAATGCTGTTTAAATGAAATCCACAGTATGCACTTTGTGTATAAGTGACTTCTTTTGAGCAATATCATACTTTTGACCTGAATCCATACTGTTGTGTGCAGCAGTCCATTACTTTTCTGTGTATGGTATTCTAATGTGCAGATTATAATTTATTCACTCTACTATTGATGACATTTCATTTGTTTCCAGTCTGAGGCTATTATGAATAATTATAATATGAATCTAACAATATTCTTACTTGGCCTTTGGTGATATATTTTATTCACAACCTCATACGCCCACTTATTTTTGGTGGGTCTGCATCTCAGAATGGAATTAATGGGTCATAGAGGAAGGCATGTATTCAAATTGGCAGATACCGCCAAACTGTTTTCCAAACTAGTTATGTCAGAATGTTCTCCTGCTAGTTGCATATGAGTTGCTGTTTCAACCCATCCTCTGATACCTGTATTCACACAGATGATAAATTACGTCATTGAGAGTGTAGTATTGAATTATACCTTCAATTTCTAATGCCTTGGTTACTAATTGAACTCACCACTTTTCATGTATTCTTTAACCACCTGGATATCCTCCTTTTGGGGTGACATTTTTTGTTAATTTTTCTGTTGAGCTGTCACTTGCTTGTTACCTGTGCAATGATCTGGATATTGTTGTTGGTTTTGGCTTTTTTTTTTTTTAAATATTTGGCCTCTCACTATATTGCCTAAGCTGCCTTTGAATTTGGCCTCCAGCAGTTGGGTCTGCAGGCATATGCCACCATACCCAGCTACTTTTAACTCTGTAATCCAACTAGCGCTTACTTATGTGTGGTGTGAGACAGTAGTTGTGTCCATCAGTGTTACTAGAGAAACAGATGTAATACAAGATATACAAATATAAGAATACACAAGATTGGCTTGCAATGGCCACCCATAGTCAGGGGTAGAAGGGTGCAAAAGGCCCATCTGTGCTTTAGGGGCCCAAAGGACCAGTCAAAAGCCTGGAGCTCAGTATAGTGTCCCATGTGTGTCTATATTGGGAGGCCAAATGGTCTGTACCAGAAGGCTGAAGGGTTAGTGCTGATGAGAGAGGAGTGACCGGCGCAGCCCCCCAATGAGACAGAGGACGCTCTTGTGGGTAACAGGTAACTGCCGCTTTATTGTTGTGGGTTCTGGCTTATATATCTGACTGTGGCCAATCAGGCTGCCACGAGGGCTGCCACGAGGAGGCAGGGCTGGAATGAGACGCGGGCTCTGGCTAATATACCCAGCTGTGGTCAATCAGGGGTTGCCACAGAGTCAGCACGGGGCGAATACGAAGTGAGCACGAGGTGTGCACGGGGTGGCTAATTTGGAGAGGGACGTAGCGCATTGCGGAAGCTGGCGTGGTCCTTAGTCCCGGGTAGGGTATGGTATGTTGAGCGCCTGCGCCCAACAGAGGAGACCACCTCCTGGCGTGGAACTGGACAGCTACGGCTTAAATGCATAGCCACGCTCACTGGGGAGGGTGATGTAGCTGAGACGGATGGTTTCAACTCCAGCCAGGCATAAGGTTGAGCTGCGAGGTAATGTCAGTGGAGCATAGCAGACTTGGAAAGAGCTGTTTAAAGTCCCTACCCCCATCACTGTTTATTCCCTTTTAATCATTGCTTGGCTTTCGTAGCTTTGTTTTGAGCTGACTGCCAATGAAAAGTTGCCCATAGGATAGACAATATAAAACTGAAAATGGGGCTTTGTTCTCCACTCTCAGGTGGACACTGGTCCCCCAAGAGATGCAGGCAATCAACTGCTTCTTGACCTATTACTCTGCGTCTTGTCAGTTCTGTCAGAGGCTGAAGAGTCTGCACTGGAAGCCAGGAGATGACGTCCAAGGTGAAAGCAAAGGCTGGAGGAAGAAGAGACAGAAGCAATCCTGTAGGCTGGGGCTCCCACATCCACAACTATGCTGAGCCAATTTAGTTGGGTATTTTTCGCACAAGTTGATGCAATCAGTTAACTATCATAGAAATCAAGGCATATTTTTCCATGTGGCTACGCTATAACATCATTATTGAAAAGAATGTCTTTTCCACCATTACTCTATAGTGTGATCTTTCTACCAATTATGTACTTAAGTGGTCTGTTTCAGGTATCCATATTTTACTTCATTGTAGCTTTATAATAACAGTACAACTGGGTATGGTGGTGCACATCTATAATCCTAGCGCTTGGGAGGCTAAAGGGGAAGAATTGCTGTGAGTTCAAGGTCATTTTAGGCTACATAATGAATTCAAGGCCAGCCTGAACTAAATAATGAAACACTGTGTCCAAAAATAAAACAATTATTATCATTACTATTTAGTGTAATCCTAGTACTTGGAAGGCTAAGGCAGGAGGATCCCCATGAATTAGAAACCAGCCTGGACTATGTCATGAATTCAAGAACAGCCTGAACTACATGACAAGACTGTCTCAAAAAAAAAAAAATAGTGTTAATAACTAGTAATACAGGTTCTCCAACGCTTTTTCCAAGACCATCTTGGCTATTTAAATTTCCATATAATTTTAGGATTAGCATTAACTTCTAAATTTCCATCAGAAAAGCAACACAAAGTTTTGCTGGTAATTGTGTTCAATCTCTGCATTAAGCTTGAAGAAGTAACAATCAGACATTTTGATTCTTCCATCTGTATCTCTTAATGTACCTCACCATTTTACCAAGGCCTTAGATTTTCCTGGTAATCCTTTTAGTTCACCAGGTAGAATCTTGTACATTTTCCATTATTCAGTTTCTTTTTCCAGTACCAGGGATCAAACTCACAACCTCGCACTTGCTAGGCAGGCGCTTCTGCCACTGAGCTAAACTCCTGACCCCCACATTTTCCAGTAAATGTTTTGCTACATACTGGTGTCTTTATCCTGTCCGTATTAGAACATAGAAATACAACTTGTTTTTTGTACATTGGCCTTGTAGCCAGTAATCCAACAATCTTACAAAAGTCACTTCTTGTCACCAACATAGGGAAGAACTGGATGCCATAAAATAAATGCAAACAGATATCCAGGGGATTAAAAATTTTGTTGAAAGTACATGCAGCAGAATCAACCAATGTGGAGATAGACTAAAAGATCAGGAAGACAGGGCTGTAGTGGGTGATCATTAAATGAAAAATTTCTTAAAAATAGCAAGTGACCTTGAAAATAATCAAACCAACAGCTGCTGGACAATGCAAAGAAGAATATAAGATGAACTGGAATCAATGAAAAATCAAAAAACAACACAAAGCACATTTTTAAAAACTGTTCACAGAAGTGACAGGAGAAAACTTTCCAATCATGAGGGGGAAAGTGACATGCAGATAACTGAGGCACACAAAACCTCATTAGCCATGATCAGAAAAAAAAAAAAAATACACCAAGGCATATGGAAGTCAAGATTCCAGAAACTGAACACAAGAACAGAGTATTAAAAGTTGTTAGAGAAACAAATCACCTATAAAGGAAAACCTATGAGAATCACAGCAAACTCCTCAACACAAACCACTAAGTAAAGGAGAGCTTGGAGTAAAGTATTTGAAACCTTAGAAGAAACAGCCTCCATAAATCAGGCCTGGTGGTGCACTCCTGTAATCCCAGCAGTTGGGAGGCTGGGTAGGATGATTGTTGCAAATTCGAGACCAGCCTGGGCTATAAAGTGAGGCCAAGGCCAGCCTGAACTGCATGGTGAGACTCTGTCTCAAAAAGACAAAAAACAACAACAAAAAAAAGAAAGTAAGAAAGAAAGAAATAGCCTTTAACCCAGATTGTTGTACTCTACAAAATTATCTTTCAAAACTAATGGAGAAATAAGATACTTCCATGATAAAAAAAAAAAATCTGAATAAATTCATGACCACCAAACGAGCCCTCCACAAAGTTTTGAAGGATATTTTGGAAAAAGACAATGAAGACACCAATTCCAAATAGTCCAACAGAATGAATTCACCAGGAAAGGCAATCAAGTAAGTTGATGGGAAGGAAAGGGAGCCAACAACAGAAAAATAATACAATGATAAGAATTAGTTAATACCTAATGGTCATAACCATCAGTGTGAATGGTCTCTATTTACCAGTCAAAAGAAACAGGTTAGCAAAATGAAACAAGACAGAATCCAACAACATACTGCATACAAGAAACATGATTATTTCAAAAAGAAATTCATAGACTGAGAATCAAAGGATAGAAAACTATATTCCATGAAACAGGAACCTGGAAAAAGGAGGAGTAGCTACTCTATTTGTAGACAAAGTGAATTTCAAGCTAAGAATGATCAGAAGAGATAAAGAAGGTCACTATATACTTGTTAAGGAAACAATCCAAGAGGAAAAAGATAACAGTCATAAATACATACACACAAAACACTGGTGAACCAACTACATAAAACAAACATTAATAGGGGCTGGGGATTTAGCTCAGCGGCATAAGCACCTGCCTTGCAAGCAGGCAGTCGTGAGTTCGATCCCCGGTACTGATAAAAACGAAAAAGACAAAACAAAAAAAAAAAACAGTAATAGATATGAAAAACAAGTTTAACACTAATACACTAATGGAGAATACCAATACCCTATGTCACAAGTAGATAGATCAACTAGACAAAAAATCAGCAAAGAGCCAGGGATATAGCTCAGCGGCCTAAGCACCTGCCTAGCAAACATGAGGTCATGAGCTCAATCCCTGGTACCAAAAAAAAAAAAAAAAAATCAACAAAGAAGTATCAAACATGAACCAAACCTCTGAACAAATAGACTTAGTCTATAGAGTGTTCACCCAATGACAATAAAATGAACATTTTTCTCAGCAGCACATGAGTCTTTATCCAGAATAGATCACATAGTACCTCATAGAACATGGTTAAGTACATGGAAAGGAATTGAAATTATTCCATGTATATTATCAGATCGTTGTGCAATGAAATGGGAAATAAATGGCAAAAGAAACCTCAAAAACTGCAAAAACATGGCAGTTAAGCAATACACTCTTGAACAACCAATGAGTCATAGATGGAATGAAAGAAGAAACTAGCTTCTACAATTGAACAGTAATGCCGGTAAAATATATGAGAATTTATCGTGCAGTGAAAGCAGTCCTACGAGGGAAGTTTACAGCAGTGAATTCCCACATCAGAAAAAGAGTGAACTCAAATGTATAACCTAATGTCAAACCTCAAACTTCGAGAAAAAGAAAAACAAGTTAAACCCAACGCTCATATGAGGAAGGAAATTATAAGAATCAGAGCAGAAAGTAATGTAGTTGAGACTAATAATACAAAGAATCAATGAATCAAGGAGTTGGTTCTTTGGAAGATTAAATAAAATAGGCAAACCCTCAGCCACCCTCATAAAAAATAAAAGTAAAGACCCAAATCCATTCAGTAGGAATGAAAGTCTGTTGAAATCTAGAAAATCTTCAGCACTTATACTGAAAACCTACACTCAAAAAAGATGGAAAATTCAGAAGAGATTAATAGGTGCCTAGATACATAGGAGCTATCAAAGCTGAATGAAGAATATATAAAACTCCTAAACAATTCAATAGCAACCAATGAAACTGAAGGTAATTTTTTAAAATTACCAACAAAGGGCCAAGGATATGGCTCCATGGCACAGCACCTACCTGGAAAGCATGAGTTTGATTCTAGGTACAGAAAAAAACAAAGAAATGCCCAGGTCTTGATGAATTCTACAAAAACTCTGAAGACCAACTAATGCCACTCCCCAAACTCTTCAATGAAATCGAAAGGGAAGCAGTATTCCCAACATCATCCCTAAAAGCAAGCATTGTCCTGATATCAAAACCAGCAAATGATCCCAAAAAAGAGAACTACAGGCCAATGTAATGAACAAAGGTCCGGAAATCCTCAAAAAGATACTGGCAAACAGAATGCAGCAAATCATCAAAAAGATTGTATGCCATGACCGAATAGGATTCATTTCAAGGATGTGAGGATAGTTCAGTATACATGAGTCAATAAATGTAACACATCACATGAACAGAAAAAAGACAAAAACCACATGACTACTTCAGTAGATGCATAAAAAGCATTTGATGAAGTCCAACCTGAGTTTGCAATAAAAACCCTAAAGAAAATTGGAATAGAAGATCTTTACTTCAATCTGATAAAAGCCACCTATGACAAACCAACAACCACTTAGTATGATATTAAATGGTCAAAAACTAAAAGCTTTCACTCTAAAATCAAGAACAAGACATTATCACAAGTCCCCTTAAATATAGTTCTGGAAATATTAGCCAGAGAAATTATCAAAGGAAAGAAATAAAAAGAATGAGGATAGAAAAGGAAGAATTTAAATAATTATTATTTGAAGATGACACGACACTCTATATAAAACACCCTAAAAACTTCACCAAAAGACACCTACATTTAATAACCAAATTTTGTACATAGCAACATACAAAGTCAACCCTCAAAAATCAATAGCATTCTGAATCACAAATGAACTCAGTGAGAGAGAGATTAGAGAAAAACACCTTTCATAATAGCACAAGGAAAATGAAATATTGAGAAATTAATATAACAAAGAAAGTGAGAGACCTTAACATTGAAAGCTACAGTACACTGAAAAAGGAGATTGATGAAGATGTCAGAAAATGAAAAGATATCCCTTGTTCTTGGAGAGGCAGAACCAATAACTAAAGCAATTCTAGGAAAAAAGGCAAGGCAGGGGACATCATATTCCCTGACTTGAAATTATACTATAAAACTACCATGACAAAAACAGCATGGTAGTAGCTAAAAAAGAAAGAAAGAAAAAAATGTAGACCTGAGGATCAATAAAACTGGATAGAAGATGAAGAAACAACTCTGACAAATACCGTCAGCTACTCATCTTTGACAAAGGGACCAA